CCTAACCTCATGTCGAACCACTATTATTACTATAATTATTTGGTACTGTAGCATTTTTAGCTGTTTTGTTTGATTCTTTTTTTTTCTGGTCGTGCTTTTGTATCTGATTATAGTAATAATTATAGTAATAATAGTGGTTCGACATGAGGTTAGGGATATTTAACATGGTTCATTGCTCTTATTCTGGTTTTTATCTTTTTGTCTTCTGTTCTAGAATTAACACCATTTACAGTTATGATTTTCGAAATATACAAGTAGGAAATAAAAATAAAGAAAAAATTCGAAAATTAATATTTTAATTTCTGTATTTCATCGACAAAACGAATAAATATTAGAGTAAGAAAAAAAGTAAAGGAAAATAATTGTTAGGATAACAAATATTAACTAGCAAAGAAAGCTATAAATGTTATAGAAAGAAAGAGTGTGACAAAAATAAACATTAGAAAGCATTAGGCAAAGACAGCAGCAAGCAAAAGAGACCGCTAGATAGGTTAGAGTACGAAAGAGTCAATGAGATTATTAGAATGGTGAGAATAAGAATGAGCGTAACAGCTAATGAGACTATTAGAATGAGTTTGCCAGAAATGATAGAGTAGGAAGGAGCGTGAAAGTAAATAACTGATAGGGTAACATTAGGCAAAAATAGCAGCTAGCAAAAGAGGCCGCTAGATAGGTTAGAGTAGGAAAGAGCGCAACAGCTAATGAGACTGTTAGAATGGTTAGCTTACCAGCAATGAAGCTATTTTTTGATTTTGATTTTGATGATTTGGAGATTTAATGTAATGAAAGTATAAATTTTGCATTCATTGTAGTGCATATGATGTTTTTATTGCTATAAATGTTATAGAAAAAAACAGTGTGACAAAAATAAACATTAGAAAGCATTAGGCAAAGACAGCAGCAAGCAAAAGAGACCGCTAGGTAGGTTAGAGTAGGAAACAGCGTAACAACCAATGCGACTGTTAGAATGGTCAGAATAAGAAAGAAAGAAAAAGTTGAAAATCTCCCAAAAGGCGACAACTAACTATTAATTTAAAAAAATATTAATAATATTTCTAAAATAAAATAAAAATAAAAAAATATTAATAATATCAAAACCACTTTTAAAAGTTTAAAAAGTGAAAAGAAATAAATAATTAAATATGCAACAATAAATAATTTATGAATGATAAAGAATAATAATAATAAAGAATATAAGAACAGGTGCCACGTTTTTCGCTTCATTACTTTCATTATTTCTTTTCCCATTTTTTCAAATTTCAGTTCGAAAAATTACAATAAAAAGCATTAAACTTCATAAAACTGCCATATGTTTGCTGTCGCTAATATGTCGATTCCCATTCGCATCATCGCTATTTTGTCGCTCCATTAAAGCGACATTTCTATGATAATGCTTCGATAATTTTCTTAATATTAGATGCTTTACCGCACTCCTAGTCCATTATTAAAGTGAAAAAGACACTATGAATGAATGTCGAATGAAAAAGAGAAGGAAGGAAGAAAGAAAGAGGCGAAATTATACATAAGACCAAGAATGCCAAAAAGCTACGCCTAAAAATAGATCAATGACAAAAAAATTACAGAAAAAATTTTACTGAGCAGAGAAGAGTGTTAGATAAGCTACATTAAGAAGAAGTGCAAAAGCTAAAAAATGTCAGAGTAACGTTTGGCGAAAAATAGCTAGCAGAAGAGAGTGTTAGAGTAAGAAAGAGTGTAAGAACTGAAGGGACTGTTAGAAACATTAGAGCAAGAAAGAGTGTAACAGCTAAAGAAATTGTTAGAGAGGTTAGAGTAGGAAAGAGCGCAAAAGTCAAGGAGATTGCTAGGAAGATTAGAATAAGGAAGAAGATGAACGCAAATAAGTGTTAGGATAAGTGTCACGCTTGTTTGAAAATATTAGCTAATAGAAGAGGCTATAGATGTTATAGAAAAAAAGAGATATTGTGGTAGAAAATAAGTCTTAGGATAAGATAAAGAAATGTTAAGC